GAGTGCCTCATTAAAAAGCTTCATGTAAAAAGCCAAGGCCTCCTTCAGCTTTGGGTAAAGTCGGTTTGCTTCCGGATTGCCTGGTTATCACCTTTGCTCCACCAAAAAGCAGCACAAAGTCTTGATATCTCCTTAATAATTGAAGCATGGAGTTTAAAGCAAGTTATGTCGAAATAGGAATGGTAGTTAAAACTGCTTTGATTAGGACTTCTCTGCCAGCAGGAGAAAGTAGCATGAATTCCAGGTGTTCAATCTTTGCTCTCACAGAGTTGAGAAAATAATCAAAGGCTTCCTTTTTTGATTTTCCAACTCCAAGAAGTAGGCCAAGATATCTAGTAGACTGATGATGCAAATCCCAGGCAACTGGGCACAAATTCTCATTTGCAAAGCAGTAGGAGTGTTTTTACTGAAGAAGCGAGTAGATTTGTTCAAGTTCACTCTCTTCCATGTATAGAGTCTGAAATTTTCCAGAATCCTCATAAGGTGTGCACTTGATCAACCCCAGCCCTACAGAAGAGAGGGGCATTATATGCAAATAACATGTGAGAGAGAATATGGCCATCCCTGGAAATTCTCAGACCAGACATAAACCCATCATTGATTGCATTAGTGATCATTGAAGAGAGAAGTTCAACACCAATAAGAAAAATATAGCGTGACAAGGGTCACCCTGTCTGATGCCCCTTATGGGAAAAATAGCCTTCCTGATTGAACCATTGATATTAAAAGCAAGAGAGGTAGTGGATAGGCTTTCAAGTTCAGAGTAACAAAAGGAGGAGCAAATTCCATTTTTAACATTATCCCTTGAAGGCTCTTCCACTTTACTCTGTCAAAAGCCTTAATAAGGTCCAATTTTAAAGCCATGAAACAGTTATTCTCTGTCATGTGTCTGTTAAGAAAATGAAAAACTTCTTGGGCTATAATCACATTGTATAACTGCTGCATGCCCTTGATGAAAGCAGATTGGCATGGGTTAATACAAGGGTCTAAGCAGGACTGCAGTCTGGCAGCTAGCAGTTTACAAATGATCTTGTAGATAACACTGCATAGGCTAATAGGTCTGTTCTAGCCAATGTTATCAGGGTTAGTCTTGCATTTTGGAACCAAGGTGATGATGGTCTGAATTCAATATTTGAGGATCATTCCAGAAGAGAAAAAACTCTTAATAGCAGCAATAACTTCCAATTTAATAAGATCCTAGAAATGTTGGTAAATAGGGGATTCATACCTTCCTCACCAAGGGCCTTCTCAGGAGCAAGGCTGAAGAGGGATGTTCTGATTTCTTCATCTTCAAATGGTTTAAGCAATTCTCTATTCATGTCAGCAGTGATGGTCGTAGAGATTAGGTGCAATGAGGTTCTTCTCCCCAGGATCCCTTTTTGAGGTAAAGAGAGCACCATGGAAATCTATGATGCGATCTTCAATGCCTGATGTGACCTTTAAATATTTTCTCATTGTGTTTTTTTTTTTTATTATTGAACAATCAAGAAAGGATCTTTATCTTGAATCTTTAAAGCATTATGTATGATGCAAAAAATTGGACAATAAATGCATTAAATAAGTTATTAGAAATAAATTGAGCAAATCCGAATGAATATGAAAGTATTATGATAAACAACTCTAACATCATTGCAACAACCAAAATGTTTAATGACTTGCAGATAATATGTTATGTAGTTTGTGTATCTTTCAAATAGATAACATTGATAATGGAATATTTGATTCTGATCAGAATATTTATTAATGTTTTAATAAGTTGTCACTTTTTTTATAGGAATATTCATAATCTTAATTGTGTATTGTGCTCGATCATATGTGTAATTACTTTAGAGTACGTATTTTGACGTAATGTGATGATTTTAAATTAGAAATTAGCGTATTCGGAGACGTACATGATTTTGAAATATTTGGAGATGAAATTCGTTCCCACCCCATTGGATATGTACTAATTTGTCGGTATGGAGAGAGAAAGAGAGAGAAGGGGAGAGAGAGAGAGAGAGAGAGAGAGAGAGAGAGAGAGAGAGAGAGAGTAATGGTAATTTATACAATGATTACAAAAATATCAAGAATTTTAATGACACTGTTTGTTATTTCACATAGATATTTATGAACTGTTAGTTGAATAAAGTAGATGTCAAATTAATTAAGAAGAATTTTGCAATACTATTGATGTATTGCCTTCAACGAGTATGAATGATCTTATAATAAAGTCAAACCAAAATGAAAGAAAATCACTCTTAAACGTAACATAAATAAATAAAAGAACACACGCATCTGTAACATACATTAAGTCTTTATTTAATTATCTCATTTTTTATATATTTCTGTTGGGGTTGTAATATGTTATTTAAATCTTTTTATGTTACAACGTCATTATGTTATTTTTTTTTAAAAAAAATTACGAGTTTATTTGTTCAACGTTTATTTTGTTAATGCAATCGTATGTTTAAATTAATTAATTGATCTTATTAAATTTAATAGGCAAAAAAATTCGCCACCACGTGTATCACACGTACACTTTACTAGGACATTAACATGTGTGTGTTAATGTTTTGAGATGGATTCAAATGCTTCATATTTTATCTCTTACATGCTTGCGGTGTTCACTCATTATGTTTTGGCCCGAACCGTACTTTGATTTTTTTATTTTTTTCTAATAAACTAGTAAAATGCACGTGCGATGCACGTGAGATATAATTTATATTTTAATGTGATTTTAAATTATATTTTCTATTTTTGTGGTCTATTAAATTTATTGAATGAGGCCCTTCTTCGTCATTATTTTTATTGACTAAATAAAACGGTTATAAATCGATTGAAATATGTTAGCAAAATTTTTAAATATTATTCATATTATCTGCCCTTTTTCAGGAAAATAGTTTTCATATACTTTTTTATACTTGATCTAATTAATTATAATGATTTTCATGAGTTATAAGTATATATTAAAATTCAATTTTGGTCAAATTTTAGTTTTTTTTTTTTCATTCAAGTATATTAAATTTTTCATGAATCATTACAAACATATGGTACACAATCTTATTTAGATTTCAATAATCTTAAAAGATAATTTAAACATAAAAATAATGTTTGGTAAATTACATTTTATTTTTGACTATCAAAATAAATTGATTGAAATTAAAAAGTCAAATTATGTATAATTAGTTATAGTTTTGGCCTTCAGGTCACATTTAATTATAAAATAATTGCAATTAAATAATTTGTGTAAATATTAATAAATTAATGTGTAGTAAACCACATAAAATGTATAATCGTAAGTTCATAACTACAAAACTTTCAAATTTCCTCAAATGTGTGATGTAGATGAACCATAATATTATACAATTTGTTGAATTAAACACACACACACACACACACACACACACACATATATATATATATATAT